AATTAACCTTTTCAACGGGTATTTTGGTCCATTTGGATTTTGTTTCATTTGTGATCCAGCTTTAGGCATAGCTTTCGGTTTCAATACTTTCGGTATGTCTAGTTTTTTCTTTTGATAACAATCTAGACTCTTTGGCATTTAGTTGAAGCGGTGGAGGAGGTGGCGGTCCACCGGAGGTTTCTGATGATGGTGGTGGAGGTGGAGGAGGTGGTGGTGGTGGAGCTGGTGAAGATGATGGAACTACGGTTGGTAAAGCTACACCAAGTATGGAAGTTGCTAGAAAAATCAAATTTCATCAAGTTTACATTTGTAAATAAGAAGCTAAATAAGAAGGTTAATTAGCATAAACAAGGTTAATTACCTCTCCCTGATCTCTGATAATATTTAAAAGACAAATTACAAATTTTTAACTTATTTTACTATGAGATAAGAATGATTAATTTCTTCGCAAATATTACTCTTAACAATATCTTTCTTTTTTTTGAAAATATTTTTGCAAAGAAAAAAAATTATTTTAAAAATAGACGAATGGAAGGGAGTAAAGAAACTATATGCATATGAAAATTTTAATCTGAAATTCCGAAATTTTCCCGTATAAATCCCTAGAAGCAATTAAATTAAATTAGGTGCTTTTAATATCAAAAGCCTCCTCCAGTAATGACATTCACCTTAATTGTCGTGATGCTAATTCAACAGGAGAAAGATGCTAATTGCATTAATTGTATAAGACATTACTTGAATCTTAAAAAATTCAAATAATACCTTAAGACATGCATAATTATTATCTGATCATTCATTACAATAATTCCAATGCATACCAAAAAGTAATTTGGTCTTTTGCCTATCCATAAAATCATATGATATTAGTTGTCATCAAATTTAGTTTTCTTAGTTGTTAAGCATAAAATTCATTTCTTAGCTGAAAAAATGCTAGGAATTCAATTTTTCAAAAAAAAAAAGAACCAAAGAATTTTATTTTGTGGAAAGTTGAAACAACAAATAAATTAAAATATAAATATTACATACCTTGAATGAGTTCATCCTCTTTGTCCTTAACCTTTCTTTCTATCTTCTGATTGCCAGTTCCAATCGCCATTCCCATTATCATTTCAGCATCATTCTTCAAAAACAATACCTTTTCTTATCACTTAATAATATTCGTCAAGCATGAATTCGTTCTATTTTAAATACTAACAACAATATTTCATCCATTTCTTTTTTTCTCTATGGAATACGTATAATAACTTGATAACTTGATAAAATATCAATGTTGCTAACCAATGTATAATAAGAACTAACATTAGATCAAGTTACAAACATAATTGGATTCGTAGGTTAATGAGTTAAAATTTTAAAATAAACAATTAGAATTTCAATTATTCAATTTAAAATTATCACTATATCAGTAATTATATATCAGTGCTGTTTAATAATATCTAAATGTATAAGAATTAAGAAATTTACCGGATTACATTTGAGCAATAATGCCTCGATCAATTGCTCAAGATTACTAAGATTCACTGAATCAGTTTTATCTTTTAACAAATTTATCAGCTGTACAAGAGCATTATCCTTATAACATGAATCATCCAAGCTCTGAAATATTTTTGTATCCTAACAGATGAGTAAAAATTACATGATATTACTGGAAAAATGAAGCTTTCTGTTTCCGCAAATATCGAAATACCGTAATCTCATTAGGAATTTTTTTTATAAATTTATGATTGAAAATTGTTTCTGACAAACAATTAAATGAACTAAAAATGGTAAAGGGATTGGATTGGAAGAAGTTAGCATAAAAATTAGTTGATTTTAGTAAATGAAAGTAAACTTTTCGCCTCACTTTAGTTATTTTTTCAAATTAGAATTATCAGTTATCAGTTATCAGTTATCATAAGTTGATAAAATATCGTTTGAAAAATTGATGAAGAATAGAGTAATTGTTGGAATGAAAAAAAAAATGAAAATTTGAAATTTTAAGGAACATATTAATGTATATAGAATTTAATAATTTGATCTTGGCAACATTATTTAATGATATGTTACTCTTTGAATTTAATTACTTACCTTATATCATCATAAACTAGTAGAATTATTTTTAACATTACTTTAACCTATGAACTTTTCATAAGAGAAAAAAAAGACTTTCCACCATTTGTCCGTAAATTAATTCCATTTTGTTTAAACTATTTCACACTTTAATAAACTTATCAATTCAGATTCAAATTATTCCCTCAATTTTTTCAAATATGAATAGCCTACATTTGATTATTAGAATTTTCCTTTTTTTACATTTAATTAATTTAGGAAATATTTATAAAGTTTATTGTTAATTTATTTTTTTTTACCTGCCAGATTTGTAACTTTCTTTGAATAATTAACGTAATTATAACATACAGATACACTGTTATTCCAGGTTGGCGATGATTGAACCGTTTCCACAGAAGCCATTCGATATTCGTCCTCTTCTTCTTCTTCACTTTCTTCAGTGAATGAATTTAAATCTTCAACTTCTGTAATGGATGATGATCGACCTATAAATAAATGTTTCATATTTTTAATTTTTAAAATTTGAATTATTTGGAGGAGAAAAAAAATGATGAACTCTTCATTCTTTAATGAAAGCTAACTTTTTTTTTGAAAGGATTGAACATTTTCATCACCTATTATGCATGTGTCACCATTTTGGTGATGTCCCGTTTGCCAATACTCAATTTGTTCGCTTATTTCACGATCAAATTCACCAAATGTTCCACTATTCAAGAGTGCTCTGAAAAATGTTCGCAATTATTTTTTCTTTTTAAAATTTTATTAAAACTGACGTAATAAAATAATGGTTGTTATACTGTCAATCTTTAATCTTATCTTTTTAAGTTATTTTGTAGTAAGATCACAAACATTCTAATCAGTAAACCTATCCTAGAAAATAATTTCATCGGTTAGGGATTGTTTTTTTTTCCAAAGCTATCTCTAAGGTGTGATGTAGCACTGATGAATCGGATTATCCTCAAGTGATAAAATGATTAGCTAATGATTAGTATAGAAGTACAAGTATAGCTTGTAATCTCATTAAAAAAAAAAAGAAACAATTAAACGAAGCAAATAGTTTCTGATCTTTTTTGAGCTATCGTATTGAAAACAGTTTATCATAAGTAAATAATAAGTTCATGGAGAAATATTGCATTGAATTTGAAGATGAAAAGGGAAAAGAAGGAGAAGGCGAAAAAAAAAGTAAACAGAACGTCTGTTTCGGGATGAAATGATTTTTGATCTTGCGTGAACTTCCAAATATCGAATGCACAATTCATCATTCAACCCTAATCTCGTGACCTAATTTTCCGTTCAAAAACTTCACCATATCAATTACAAAGCTCAGAACTGCTCGTTTAGTTTATGTAATCAATAATCATCTTATTAGTTCTATTTCAATTGATCATTTCAGATCAAATTTAACAGCTTTGAAACTTTGGACAAATAATTCATCTGCTACATAATATTCATTTCAATACAATAGTAATTGTGATAACTGCTTGTGAAAGTTTATTCAAGCAATAAAGTAAGAGAAGCTTTATGATAAGCTTATAAAAGTGCTAATGAAGTTCATTAATTTCTTGCTTTCTCAGTACTTTCATTTCAATTAGCAAAATTTTCCTATCAGAATTTTAAATTTATTTGGTCAAATAAAAAATTTTATTTCAAGCTTATTAAATACACGTCTTGTACGATTGTAATACAGATTTCTTTGAGAAATGAACGTTAAATCTGTTTTCATATTCAACAACGAAAGTTTCCCGATGAGATTTTCTATCGGGATAGGACCGAATATTGACCACTAAAGGAAAGACCTGTGATACGACATGAACTTCTTTCTGCATTCCTTCAAAATATTTTAGTTTAACGGAGTCGTCCTTTAATTAATTGTAATTAGACTTTCATCATTAATCTTCTACGAAATTCATTTTGTGATAAAATTAAAGCAAATATACCATTCCTTTATATTTTATAATTCGGGACATCCATAGGCCTTATAATTCCTTGTACAACAAGTCTCGAATCATGTAAATACAACGAGCCAAGACAAATAAAAGATAAACAAAACTTTTATAGCTCTCACTTCTAGACTTTTTTCTATAATCCCAAAAGAAGTTGACTTTCATTGGCACTTTTTTTTTTTAAATTTTATTACTGTATGCAAAAAAAAAAAAAATTACTTGATATTTTAGGAGCTAAAAATAAGGAAGTTATGCAAATTTGAAAACATTGTAAAAATTCCTTTTAGGCAAAACCACAATAAATGATTTTAAAATGAGGAAGCTTTAATTATTATATGAATGACAGCGGAAAGAATGCTTTTGACATATTTCATTCTATTCCTTAAATAAGTAAGTAGTCTAACCTAAACACTTAAGCATGTGACAGACATATCGGTTCTATTTATTGGTCGGTCACAGCATAGGAGGAATGTGGAATCAACCATTATAATGGTAACTAAAGAATTATATTACTGATTAAAACCTGTTAGGCAATATGAGCAGGAAGGAGATGGAATCTTACGCTCAATTTCGATGTTCCGACAAATTAGCTAACAATCATTTAAGGTTACATAATTAATAAATTAGCATTTTTTGATGGGAAAGAATTAATTCACGAGAAAAAAAAAAGAGTGACAAAATTATTCATCAGTCAACAGCGCCTTCCTCCTCCTATTTCACCAGAATGGACAAATAACTGGAACCTTTGTTGGCTGTCATTTTCCAATAATGTCATTCAGTATAATTGTGAAGACTGCGCTCAGGTATAATTGAATTAAAGAGTATTAACTGCTATTTTGATAAATTGTATGATAATACTTTTGAGAAATGATCTTATCAGAAGGAAAAATCGGTTGGTTGTTGATTAATTATGAAATGTCAAGTAATATTGATAGTAATTAGAAACCTAATATTGTAATTTAAGTAAACTGAACGAAGTCCACCTTTTAACATTACATAATTTACGCAACAAAACATCACGATTTGATTATCATCATGTGACAGTGATTGGATCATCGTTAAATAACAACGAATGGATCATTGTTATTTGACAAAGATTGGATCAACATTAAATGACAACAACCAATGGATGGAATTAAAAGATGAATTTAAAATGGGAAATAAACAAGGGAAAATTTTGAACAATGAGCGATGTAAATGATAGTATTTCAATGAAATGATGGGAATGTGATGAAGAAGGACAAATTCAATGCAAAAGTAAAATGAAAAAAAAAAACAAAAACAAAAACAAACAATTAAAGAGCAAAAAATCTCTAAAATATTGATGAAATGGATGTTAAATCATTGGTGCGAATCGAAATATACGATAAGAATCACTTTGATATGATGGTTTTATCACTAGGGTATGTATTTATTTATCTTGACCAATTGTAAGGCATAAGAAATATGCAAAAGAAACAAAATATGGAAATAAGCAAACGTAAGAAAGCATGAATGTACAGGATTAAAACGTTAACATTATCTTATCCAAAAAGTGAATTAAATTAGACCGATTTGCGATGATATCATGAATAAGCTATCAGTTAATCATTTTTTATATATAACTGGACAATGTCCAGCTGTTTGTCGCATTACATTAAATGGTTTAATGTTATTAAACAAGAAATTTATTTATTCGAATATCTTGCTAATCATTATCAACAATTTATCAGATATAAAACTATCATTGAAGTAATATGAAGGCGCAAAATGGCATTAAATTATAAGGATGACTAATAACTTTCAATGCATTATATTCCTTTTTTTTTTTTTTTTTGCGTTGTTTGCATAAATAGAAGGAAGAATTGAGAGATGAAGAAAGAAAGAATGTCTAAAATGATTTCTTCTCTTCACTTCAATGTTTGCAAATTTTTTCAAATATGCGCGCATTGTATTAAAACTGGTGACATGTGGCGCTAATGTTACCTACGATATATGCTAATGTTTCCAGGTATTAAATGACCCATTAAGCATAAACAATTTGTCAATGTTTTTTTACTAAGTTATTTTAGGATGTGTAAGATGAACATTGTCGTGATCTTGCTTTCGTTTTTTTTTTTTCATTCAAAATTTTATAATATATTCAAATTTGTATTATTCTTTCGATGAATTTCTTGACCTGATAGATCATGACAATCCTATCTCTCTAATTCACCTGGTTTATTTTATTCATTTGTTGATTGTTGGAAGAGGAAAGGAAGAAATTAAAATGTATTGTGCAGGAATAAATTTAATATTCTACAATGTACCACCTGCTGCTCACTAAATTGCGTCATATCTGAACGAATATCCTTCACGCTTCCTTTTATATTTCAATTTATTGCATCAACAAAATGAAATTTCATTTCAACTTCCTCAACTTTGGCCTTCAATGTAAATTTTTTTTTTTTTTGTGAAATGAATTCATGCTTTCTTTTCATTCACTATGAAAGCCAATTATCAATTGTATTTTTAAAAAACAATTTTTGACCAAAAATTCATTAAAAAACTCAAATTTTAGAAATTAAATAACAAGTTACTGATTTCATTTTATATTTATGTATATCGTTATTTTGATAATAAATTTGGTTTTTGGTATATTAGATAGTTCGTTGATTTTATTTTAAATTATAAATTGTTCTCAAAATTTGGCTGGAATAAAACATCAATTTCAAAAATGTCACTCATATTTATCGCAAAAATGTCACTTTGTGATGACCAATGAAGACCAAACAGTTGAAATCATTGACAGACGAGGATTACTGCCTAACAGATAAGGTGGATTAGACAAAACGTTTTGATGAATAATATCGTCATTTTCGGCAAAGAATGTGAATTATGAATTTTATGAAGTCATTATTTAATGAAGAAATCAGCAAAGAGATGATTAAACTAACATATCATTATCAAAATGATACACCATTAATATCGTACTCTCAACCATTTAGATTATCTATTGGAAAGTTATGGTTATTGGCAATTTCATTCATAAATATCACATTTTTATTAGTTTGAAAATTAAATTTCAACCAATTTCTCAATATAATTTACTAAAATAGTGGAATTTCTTTTTAGAAAAAAAAAGAAAATCAAATTTTTAATAAATTTTTTCGATGAATTTATTAAATTTAGGAAAATTTTTCATAACATAAGATATAAGCATTTAAAAAAAAGAAAAGTAATAGAAAATTTTGTACAAATGAAGAAAATAAGCCATAACAGCGATTGTATATCAATGTTGATTTTAAAGGAAAAGAAAATATTTGTTATTTGTTAGCATAAAAGGAATTATGACAAAAAGATACAAATGATTCATTCATACAACAAATCTAATCATATGTTATCACCTATACTCTCTTTTTATCACTAAGTTCATAAATTGTTTAGATATCAATGGTTTCTTTCATTTTTGAAATAACCACAATTAGATGAAAATAAAGTTTTGGGAGAAAATAAAATACTGAAATTTTTACTTTGTTTTTTTTTAGAAACTTTCAAAATCAATTTTTATTTCAAAATTTTTGCCAAAATTTCAATGAAAAATGAAAAAAAGTTTCAGTAAATTTTACATTTAAAGTTTAATTTTGCTATAAGAAGAGGAAAAGATTAAAATTATTTAAAAATATTACATTTTGTTAATCGAATGTTTTTAATAAATAAATAAACAAAGTTAGAATAAAATAAGAAGTTGGAAGAATTCATTTTATTGAATTTTAAGAAATTTCTTTTCAAAAATATCTTCAATGTTACAATTCAAAATTTCTTGAATATTAAATGTTGGCTAATTTTTCTTAATTAGCACTATTTATGATCCCATAAACTCAGATATTTTTTGATGCAAATTAAAAATAATAAAATTACTCTTCGAAATACAAAATGAATGGAAAGCGAAAGATACATGTCGATTTTAAGTTGGATACAATTTTACAGAAGACTTAAACGACAGTCAACGAAACTTTTCTTTTAAACAATTGATTACTTTTAGTAATTAAAATCATTTGGAATACTTGAAATGAATAACTGATGAAGCAATGTAAGATGGAAAATATAGAAAATAAGTTTTTCATCAATGTTTGAAAAAAAAAATGAAATGTAAATAAGTTAGTACTAATCAATGAGATATTTTGGACGATGAAAACAATTCTTGTAAAATAAATCAGAGTTTTGATGAAATTATAAAATTTAACAAAAATTTAAATCAATTTTTCTTTGATCGCATTTAAAATTTGGTTAATTCTAGTTTGTAAAATCGAAAATAACATAAGAGTTTGTTTGTAACTCACATTCTTTAGATTATT